CCCCACCCCTCCTCATTTATAACGACAGTATCTCTTCTTTGTTTCTAAGAAACACTTTTTGACTCCTAAGCATCAAACCACAACTAATTGTTATTACAAAATAAATCCAACACCTGCAACGGAAATGAATTTCGACAATTGATATCCTGTACAAAAACGCAAACTCATTGTCAAAAATATGCATGCGCAGTATGTATGTTAATTTTCCAGATCATATCACAAGATGTGTGGACATGGTTTGTATTTCATTCCGTTAATTCGTTCTCGTACAGCCTAATATGCAAGCAATAGATGGTAACCATCCGGGTTATTAATCACCGGGGTCAACTTAGTAAATGTTAAGTCCAACCATCGAACATAGAAGTCAAACCATCCACGGTACCAGGACAGACCTCGTGTGTTTCCACCAGTAACACGTGGACGCGGGAACAGCGCCGTACTTACAGGGATACTCCTTAACAGTAGTCAATCTAATAGCCAACGATTAAAACATATCAAACCGTTTAAAATAACCTCACAGTTTTATGCCTTTTATGGAAGTGCATTTCGCCTTGTCAATGCAGTTATTACCTGTTGAAATTCACTTCCGGTCCGACGTGGCGGGATAACTTTGATGTGGCGGATAAAAACGGATGTACGTTATTGCCATAAGCCGTTATCGGACAATCGACGGATATCATAGCCGGTATCATTGCTCCCCATCTAGATTTAAATAGTCAAGGCGTGATCTGTCCATGGACGTAGGTGCTGAAAGGAAATTCATATCTTTAATACGACTGCTATCTTGTGGAGAAGGTTTGTCACGTGATCAGAAAAAGAGTGACAGACCAACTCAGTAAGACACGGTTCAGCAATTCTACCAATGTTTATAAACGTCTTGGCTTTCTTGGCAGTTTCTGTTCGTGTATTGAGCATATTGTCCTATTATTTGAACTTTCGGTTTTTGTAACAATGTAAATGTATGCGCCTTCATGGCTATTTTCAGACTGAAACATACCCGAAACATCTCAATGCAATACCCAATCGCACCCGAGTCTTCGTAGGACAAAACATTGTAGCATTAAAAAATTTGTTGAGATAAACATATGTCGGCTGAGTCTGAAGCAATATTAAGAATGCAATTTTATACATTCAAGTTAGTGATATTTGAAGCCAAAGTCATTTTGAATACGCTTCTGTATACATCAAATGTCGTTTTGTCCTTCAGTGTATCCCAGGGGTCAGCAGGGCGACCTCTCCCAGCCATGAACAATTCGTGTAACAGTACCACCGCGTCACGCTGTGGTATCGGTATAGGAATCGGGGCGATAAGTACGGTGTAGATACCTTTATTTCTGTAGATATCATATTGCAATTATGTAAAATACGAAACAGAGACAACATCTTGCAAAAACGACAGAGCGAGATAACCCATGCACTTCCTGTACACGTTGATCCTGATTTTTGCGTGGTAAGAATGATTCAATGAAATAAATTTGTATAGCTATAGGTGTTTTGACACGCTGATCAAATCAAATGTAGCCCCAATCATATACTATAAAATTTCTACATTATATCCATGGTAGAGCGACTACGTGCCCGCAGGACACTTTGATATCATCAACAAGCATAAAGCACCGCCGCCTCATAAGTGAGGATTTGCTTTATTACAAGAATTTTATCGGGAAACGATAAATTTTAAATAAGAAGATTTCTTTCCGATGAAGTGGCTTGGAAAATATTTATGTATTACAATGCCGTGGGCAAACACGAGAGATATTTAACACCAAATATTGGATAATGTTCATAAATTATTCTCATCAGCCCAGTAGTTATGACGACACAACAGTCGCGGACCGCCGACAGGCTAGAATAGTTCACAAAACCTCGGGCAGAAGGCTCAGAGAAAAGATGATATCTAGTCATAATTAACGCCATTGTTCAATAAATCCACACCAACAATCATAAAGGTGGATTATCACGTACGTAACCTCCATTGTTTTACGGTGATAACAGGCGAGAGGTTCCGAAGTTCACTCTGTCGTGATAACTGATTCTGACCACGCGTCATGTGTGGAGTCATGTACTCAACAAACAGAATTGTACGGAAAGCTGGGTCTGAGGGCTACCAGAACCCAGTACTAACGTATACACCCTATGTTACGTACTCTATCAACATCCGTACACAAAATAAGGCAACCGGCCTATATTTTCCAGATCACACACATGGTGGAAGTATATATTTCTCTAAACACGGGGCGTTATTTATTCCATTTATCATTCTTACAAGTTCATCTTTAAGTTAAAATGGACCAATTCTTGTATACCAAACGCCCGTGAGCGATAGTAAATAAGCACTTTAGATCCGGTTTGGTAAAGTGGGGCGTTAACATCAGTCCACTGTACAAACACAACAGTTTCAAGCGCAAGGCTCTCACATTTAAACAAGATTGACATTTATCAAAGATGTGCTTCCAAAGTTTCATTTTATTTCCTATTTACCGTCTAAGATTGAATTATTCACACAAAGTCTGATTCTCGTACAAGCGTGTCGGCTGGCCAATCAAGTGAGCGGAGTTTGTCATTGATCAGGTGTACCTACTGGCCGCGCGCTGCCTCACGGAAGTAATGGCGCGAACATCATAGTTACAATGCCCTATTTGTGCTAGTGTTGATGCATACAATTCCACTTTTACCAACCTGGTGAAGTTAATCGGCTAACACAATAATGACCGGGCTTTGATCTTCCATGAGTCTATAGGTATGTTCGTCAGATATCTGATTTGTACTCAATAACCCGTCTAATCAGTTTAACCGTCCGCACAACCAAAATGGACGTCATTAACGGAGCCATGTTTATTTATTGTAACAGGACCGCAGAAAACTGCGCGTGACGAGCAAAAACAAACATTTCCTATATTGTGTCATCAGCTAGAAGGTAAAAGAATATTCTATCTGAATAGCTTTACCAGAGACCACATACACAAGTGTAAATAGTAAGATCTTGATTAGTGACCATATAATTATATATAGTTATTACACTGCTCTGTTTCGTTTCCCTCCAAAAAAAGGTGGATAAGTACATATTTCTTTCGATTAAACATTTTATTTTCCAAAAAAAAAAAAAAATCTGAAGCAAATATTTATTCTTGTAAGACAATTCAGTTCAAAACTATGCATATTTCAACGGGTCGCAGAACATTTTCTCATTACTTTCTACCGACTTTTTTGTTTCCTAACTCCTTTATGCTTGGCAATACCTCACCTTTGGCCTCAGCAATGAACGTTCGCCCAGGTGAGGCAGGTAAGGGTTCTGTCCCCAGGCCGGCACATACCAAAGTCCTTCAAAATGGCAGTTGTAATTCCCTGCTAAACGATCAGCATTAAAGGGAATGTCAAAAACTGGTCTATTCGTCGTCAGTATAATGTGATCAGTGGAATAATGTGCTTGGTGCCTTCGGCATGGTATTTAAGTAAGGTGGCACTCTAAAGTCGGCATCAGATCCGCGCTATCGCAAGGAGGCAAATACACCAACATACCCTCCCTCCGGCACACATTCACGCCAAAACATCACAAAACAAACATTTCATTAAATCCTTAACTTACCTTAGCTGTAAAAGGACTTTAAACAAAATAAAACCAAACCAGTTTAAACAAGTCATGCTATAAACAGGGAAGTCGTTGGAGAGGCAATCCTGTGTTATTTTTATTGATGGAATATGCTAGAATGCATAAGGCGTGTAACTAGAATATCTCAAAACTACGAATATTAAAGTAGTGTTGCCGTAAAAAAAAATCAATCCCGAAAATTCAATGCGCATTTGACGAGGATGAAAAGTAGCAATCATGACACAAGATGTTCGGCGAGTATAGACACGCGAGCCTGTCCTACAACACTACGCGGACACACAACATGCAGCATTGCTAACATTTCAATATGCATAAAACTTCAAACAAACATTACTGACATTTTTGTGATGTTAATGATCATTGTCAAGAGTGAAACTTTGTTTTGCTTTCTTTCACACCTTACTTTACTTATATGAATAAACACCGGAAACCTATTCAGCTTCATCGATAAACGATCTCATAAACATATCTTGTCGTTCATACGTTTCTAAATATGTGTAAAAAAAATGAACTGAATTTAACCATATTGACAGTCGTTACGTTAAAGCTCGCCCAAACAGCTATACTCCATTTTGTAAAGAAATGTTTCAGGGTTTTTTTCATCTTCTACCGCGATACTTATCGTTCAATAGAAAGGAATTATATCGTTATTATATTAATTACCGGCATAACGAGAAAGGACTTGAAAGTGGAGATATATGGGTACATCCCCTAAAGATAAGGTAAGTATGTCTATCCCTGTCACATGCACGTCCCTGTAAGTGATCGGTGATACACTTAAACAAGACACTCTTCCAATCAAAACTTACATCGACCGCCTGATAACAGGACCCAGTAGCGGAAAGCTTGGTAAGTATCACCACAAATAATACAAAACATTTAACTCTGTTACTTTGTTAATGATGACATACAAATGCATCTGCATTTCTTCATAGAGAATAACTATGACCATATAAAGATAAACATTGGGGTACAAAGTGAAGGTGTTTTAAAGTTTAATTCGCCGCATCTCAAAACTAACCAAGCGAGTAAACCAATGGAATATGGTAATGAAAATGCACCGGAAGTGGGTCAGATAAGGTGATTTTAAAGATGATATCTGAATTAAATAAAGCATTCTGATCACAGACTCGAAAATAGAAAATTAAATGATAAATAAAAGTATCAAACCACGTCGGTTAAACTTGCTGGTAGTATGTACTTGTTTTGAGCTTAAGTCACGTAAACTGCAACGCGCACCTGTTTCTTCGATTGCTGTTGTATGCATATGTGTTGAACCTTTCGACAAACCAACCAACCAACCAATAAACAGCAAAATCCAAAATACACTGTTTCGTTTTAAAATCTGTATCACCCTTAAACATATGTATATCACCGAACGAGATCAGTCTACAGACGAGGTTAGGATCCAAAGCCTTTTTAACGCCGTGTAGACTGTTTAATGGGGAAATGTTACAGTTCCCGGTAATATGTTTAAATTATATACCGATACCTGACATCGATGAGGAGCAGCATTTATCCCAAATAAAATCACTTTAATTTTGCTCGTTTTTGATGGTTAAAGTGCAGTGTTTAAACGCTCGAGTATACAATCTCGCTAGAGCGAGACTAGAAAACTCAGAATTCGTACAGCCATCAATCACCGCGCGCACACTGAATAACCTATAAATAGACTGTCGAACAAAGATGAACGGCATTCAATGTGCTGCAATGTTTGATGGAAGCGAGCAGAGCTGATTACAGCTTATTCAAAGGTAGACTAGATCAAAGATATGACAAAACGACAGAATAAAAACACTGCTATCCTCGCTCCATCGTTTATCGTGTTATATTAAACATCCATACCTCACACCAAGATGTTCATACATCGTACATTATGAAACATCCACAGCACACGGTAATATAAATTAACATCAATACCTCACAATGACAACGATTAATAACAATCCGAGGTTCAATCACAACCTAGTTCGTAGGTCGTCTCAAAGCGGTTCACAAATTATTATCCGTGATTATAGGGCCTTTGCAACCATCCAATACCTTTCTCAACTCCCTGGGGAGCACATTCAATCATTCTAGTACTGCCCAACCACGTACTCGTGTACAGCTGAGTAGACTGGAACAAGCGGAGTAAAGTCTTGCTCAAAGATACAACACCGAGCCATGCCTTGACTCGAACACGCAACCCTTCGGTCAGGAGCCCGGCGTCTTACCACTAGACTACCGTGCCTCCGATGATGTCCAATACAATCCACAATCATACATGTACGTGGCAGCCATGTTATAAACAATTGACATCGCTCATACCGAGGTGTACAGAACCAACATCATGAGATACGGGAAGGTGAATGATGACTTCAATTAAGATCAACTGCATTTTCTAATATATATTATTTTCTTTCAGATAAACAACGTCGCATAGAATGCTGTCATGATTTATGTATACCACAACACCTACACTGTATCCTGTTTATTGTGATAGCTATATTAAATTAAACAGCAAAATCCAAATAATCGTTATTTTATTGAGATTTTCGTGTTTAGAATGTCTGCCACATTACAATTTCTGCAGAAAGAAAAAAACAACAGTCACTGCAACTTGAATATCAAACTTGCAGCCATCGCTGAAGACAGGCCCCGAAGACTTAAATGAACACGAACTACGCAAACCCAAGTGACGAAAAATGACCACTAACCCTGGTGACGAAAAATGACCACTAACCCTGGTGACCACAAATGACCACTAACCCTGGTGACCACAAATGACCAACAACCCCGATGACTACAAATGGCCAATTACTTTCGTGACCACAAATGACCACCAAGTCAACCGTTATAAAAGGACAAAACTTGTTTTATGCATTGTATATTTTAGATGCAATATATTTTACAACAATTATGAAACAAATTTTCTAAAAGCCCTGCCCTATATTAATATTTTGTTGGCCCTGAGGATATTGTAGCGGATCTTTATGTGGAAGATAACTAGTGTACTCAGAGAAGATCCCGTACACCTTTATATCCGATCGGGGATTCGAACCGAAGCCGTTTCGGTGAAAGGCTAGTGCGCTATCCACTGCGCCAACCTACCGACTTAAACGACAAGACATAACCAACAAACCTTGATGATGAGAAGTGACAACCAACCATGAAGAAACGATATGACCGCCAAACTTTGTGACAACAAATAAAGGCAAATAATGACTTAAAGCGCTGTGACCTCGAGTCCCAATAGTAAGATGCTGATAAAACTCACAGTTGAAGAAGTAATCTGACAAATCTCTGGGTTAGCGGATCTGTGTTAAAATTACATCACATGCCAGACAAGTGTGAAGTTATTTCGTGAACAATTGACAACATCCTGTTATTTACCTGTATGAATTGATGATGCAAATTAATTTCATAAAAAAGATGGGCGTGTCTGTTAAACCGTATAATGTTGATATAGAGTACGGGAAACGATGCTGTTGCGTAATTAAATGTTCATCCGTGATAAAGATGAAGGTCACGTGACAATAAGAAATTAATGCGCACACTTGAGAAAATCGTTGACGAAACACTTGTACCGTACGTAGTAGTCGGTGACTGTCTAAACACATCGTGTATTGGGTATGTTAATAAGGGACCTTCCACATCCATTCATTAACATATATAATGCCTGTATGCATTCCTACATTACAAAATGTATTTTAATAAAGCAGGATATTTTAACGCCTTTGCTACAATACATTCCCTTGCGGCAAAAATGAAGTGTGAACACGACTGGATTAATCACATGCAAGCTTACGATTGATCCCGTCTACTTCACGTGCTGACCCTCCAAAAGTCCGGTGTGGGCGGAGATGTGTGTTTACACTTAAATATCATTCTCTTTCTCACTCAACAGATAGAAAAACTCGACAAAGGTATTCAAAATAGTTATTCAAATCCTACATTTGTATGTAGTGTGAAAGTAAACGTCTGTAAAGTATATTGACAGGGATCGGGACATAGAACGCCCTCCTCCCTCAGCGCGATCGTGTATTAACTGTTCAATACCCACTGGGAACACAGACCATTACAAAATCAAAAGGTAATTAACGTTCTCAAAAATTGAAAAAATACCCCTATTAAAAGTCTGCATTCCCACACGTTGAATTGCAAGCAGTATTTCGAAATCACTGTTCTTATAAATATATTGGTATGTTTCATGAACGAGTTTTAAAAACCTTGCTCAACAGGTGGCAGAATGGAATGAACATGTGTCGGCTAGATTATCAAATGTAGGCAGCTGCATACTTCACAAGAGATTATCTCAACTATTTCAATATTCCAAAGGGGTATTAATGTATGAAAGAGCAACGCATTTATTTCTCAACATTGACCTGTCAGCTACTTGCAATGCATGTGCCGATTTCTGTCATAACACAGCTGCGAGAGGACCGTTGATCACTTAGTTATCTAACATCAATTTGCTTTAAAGCTCAATGTATCAGTATTATATAAAGATATTTACTTAAACAATATTGCTATCGGAAAGTTTGAGAGAAAAATAAGCATAACTTGGCGATCAAAGTTACAACAATATTAGATTTTAATAGAAAATACAGCTGACATTTCCACTGACATGCCTTCAATTTTGGTGCCAACGGCGGGATGTGTCAGCATGTTTGGTTCCAATGACGAGTTGTATT